ATTTCAAAGGAGAAGCCACAACTAGGAAGTCAGATGCTATCTGAAAGAAACCCAAAACATTAGAGAAAGCTTTTGCATAATTCACAAAAGCTGTACTTTAACAGCACAGTGACAGTACACTACACTAAGTAGTTTTCAAAAAAAATTTATACAATTTAATAGCAAATCCAACAAGCTTTAGGTATTCAAAGATTAAGAAAGTTTATCCTAAGACCCTAATCTTATTTGTTTATAGGTTCACCAAGGGTGAATTTTGTGATTTATTAGCCCAGCGGCTAACAACCTCCACCAGCTGAGCCACTATTAATATGCTATTTGTCTAAGCATTACAGCACCAAATATTCAATAAAATTATTCCTGCCTTTATTAAACAACCATTAAATCTATGCCCTTTCCCACTCTGGTCTGTTTTGTACTGAGAAAAACAACTTCTTACTGGTGCATTCTCAGTTCAAATAGCAAACTTGATAAATGTGATGATGAACTATGTATGTCACAATATGCGGTCAATGTATGGAATAAGACTTTGCAATTCTTCTGAAGTAAAATGTTAGGCATAAACAGAGCTGGAGAAAAGCAGCAAACCTGACAAACCAAGTACTGAAATTAAGAGATTCACAAATTGAGGATGAAAACCTAACTGCCACCCTCTTTGGAATATGCATTATGTGATCATGTAATTACTTCCACACTGCTTTTCTCCATAAATGCCTGACTCATTTATTAGAGAGGATGGAGTGCTCTGGGGATGATTCAGCATTCTGTCAGAGGGGCTCATCTTCCCGACTCTATCATGCTCACTGCTGTAATTGAAGTCTCCCAGTTTCTAAACAGGCAATTTCAGGGAACAAAGGGCTCATGATTAATGCACTTCAACACTATCCTGGTTTCTGTCTCTGCTTCTGGCAAAGAGTGCTTACATAATACACAACAATTCACAAACTTTTCACAGGTTACCCCTACTTAAAGATAATTGATTTTCCATTATATCTCACTTATGGTGATTTATTTTGATGCTTAATTTCTTAATGTCTTAGCTCCTCATGTTAAAATAAATCACTTCCAAAACCCTAATATGAAAAAAAGGTTGTGAGACTCTTAAGATCAAATTATGACAATTACAAAATGGCTTGCAAAAGGACTGTCTTCAGACCAAGATTTAAATACCACACAAAAAAGTGCCTAATATATGATAAACTATTAAGTAGCCATTCATTAAGTATTTTCATTACTAGCACTTAATAAGAAAGGGTTCCAAATGGACTACAGTACTGGGCAAGCAATATTGTAAAGGATACCTAAAGGACAGATTATGAGTACACATGCGATGATTTTATTTCTCCCTTACCAGTTTCAAGTTTCACGTGATCATCTTAATTGAGAGCTACATCACAGAAACGTATCACTGTACGCAACTGCTACTGTTACTCCACATTCTATCAACAGCACAAGGGCAAGATTTGGCATGAGTAGTAACTCTGCCCTCGGCAGAAAATAAACGCAACCATATCAGAAAGCCTAACAAAATAACCTTGCTGCTCAAGGTGCAAGTTCACAACGTAGACGAGACTAAGCAGCCAGAACTGTGTTCTAACAAGCCAACTGATACATTTCAAAGATCAGGAATTCTGACAAACCTGTACAACTGGCCAGAAAACAGTCACTGAACCACAGTACAGTTATGAGTATGGAGAGTCGCCTCTGCACACTGCTATGAAACTCATTTGTGTGTCGTGAGCTGGTTAGTAAGAAGCTCAGATGTGGGAAAGAAAGTTTGAAATTTTGTGTGGCCAAACCATCTGGCAATTTCCCTCTAGCGCAGAAAGGCAGCAATGCAAAGGAAGCTGGTGACTACAGAGCAAAGGGCAATCTGAGATCCAAAGCAGAATGATGTTATGAAGTACAATTCACACACTCAGATTAGTAACAGCATTAAGTCTTAATTTATTGGGAATTTATTTTTATCATCATCAGAGAAACACATAGGACTGGAAAAAGTCCCCATTACTTCAGACTCATACCACTCAAAACCAACCTGAACTCTGCATTTAAACTTGCAGGAGGAATGAGAAAAGATTACAGTCATGCTCTCAAACATGATTTCATGCTACAAGATGACAGGAATCAATATCCTGCATCCCATGAAGCTGTCCTAAAAAAAAAAAAAAAAAAAAAAAAA